AAATTACTATGCTAAATTAAGTTAATTAAATTATAAATTATTATGTTACTGTATGTTACTTAAAATTTTATTGTTTATATTCTTGATAACATTAATTTTGGGATATATTTTATAAGTCCTATATAAATGAACAAAATAAAACTTTAGAGTTTTTTGATAAATTATTTCTTATAGGCATCAATGATATCAGAACCAAATGGACCATTTGTTAATTTATCACGGCTTAATATTGATAAATATGCTGCTGACCCACAAATTAATCGAAATCTCTTCGAATATGTTTTCTATCATGAAGGTGATATGAAAGTAGCACATCAGGTAAATTAACAAATCATCGTTATCAATATTTGCATTAGCAAAATAATATTGGCTTATTTTTTCAGATCGCAATAATTGCAGCAAAAAATACCAATAATGCGGATTGGTATTGGAAGAATCAACTCGGGAAAAGTTGTTATCGATTGGGAATGTTTAACGATGCATTAAAACAATTTCAATCTTCATTAAATTGTCAACAAATGGTGGAAACATATGCCTATTTAGCTAAAGTACTTATTTCATTCATAAAACTTTTTTTCTATAAGTTCTGATTTTTATTTCACTTATTTTAGGTTTGCATATTAATTATAATTAAAGCAATTAGCGAAATAAAATTTTAGTATTCATGAAATGTTCTTATTTTGGTTTAGTTGAAAGAATAAATGAACTTTATTGTGCCCTTTCTTTGTTTCAACAAATCAATAAATACAACAATTTCAGACATATTGTCGAATTGATCAACCATTGATGGCTATCGGTCATTATAATTCTGGTTTACAAATATTTCGCAACGATATAACTTTATTAATTGGTTTAGCGCGAGTTCAAGAGGTTAAATGATTAATTCATATAAATTTCATTGATTTTCTTCGAAAATTTTCCAGAAAAAAATTCATGAATCATAAAATGGATATGTTTCAATTTTAATGAACAAAAATTTCAACAGTAATTTGAAATGGAAATTAAAATGATCTGACATCTGAAATATTGTTAGAATGGATTAATTTATAATTGTTATCAAAATACTTATATTATTTAAACACTTGTTCTAGCTAGCCTCTTATCATCTAAACTTCATGCATATGCATAAAGAAGTCTTACAATAATAGAATTTTCCACATTGTTGAAAAACTTTTATTGGAAGCTGGCATTTATGATTCTGATAAGCTAATTTAGAAAATTCAATTTCCAGCACCTTGGAGATGTTGAAAATTGTATAAAAGCATATAAATTAGTGTTAGAGCAAGATCCAACAAATATCGAAGCAATTGCATGCATTGCAACCAATTATTTTTATAATGATCAACCAGAAATTGCTCTTCGCTACTACAGGTTAATTAAGTAATTAATCATTTCATCAAAAAACTCACCTGAAATGAACGAACTATAAGTTGGATCAATAGTATTGTAACTCAGAGAGTACGTATATTTATGCATTAGCAAAATGATCGACCAATCTTATTTTTTTTCATAAGAACAAATTATTGAAATATGTTTTTCATATTTCTTCAAGTGATAAAAAGAATGTATTAAGACGTATCTTACAAGTGGGTGTCAACAGTGCAGAACTATTTATGAATCTTGGCTTATGTTGCTTTTTCTGTCAACAATTTGATCTTGCATTATCGTGTATTGAACGAGCGCAAGCATTAGCTAATGATGAGATTATTGCCGATATTTGGTATAATACCGGAAATGTTTTTCTAGTAAGTATCAGTTATAAATTATATTTAAGCGAATAAATAAATATGTAAGCTTTAGCAGCTAAAAATCAAAAAATATTAAAGTCAAATTCTGTATAAAATCAACACTTCAGTCATCCGGTGATGTCAAGATGGCATCGCGATGTTTTCGACTAGCAATGGCAGCAGATCCAAATCATGCAGAAAGTGTATGCAATTTTGCTATCCTACAAATGCGTGACGGGAAAATAGATCAGAGTCGATCGATGTTCCGTTCAGCAATCGAAAAAGGACCACATTTATTTGAGCCATGTTATAATCTTGCTTTACTTACTTATCAAGTAAACATTACTATTATCTTTCAATAAATCGCTACATTAAGTATCCGATTTTTCTTGCCATCGATTCTTAAAATGATTTCACGAAGAGATGAAATAGATTGGCTACATTCAGTGTCCGATTTTGATTTCACGAAGAGATGAAATTGATTTCAAGCTAATAGACTCATCAGATAATTCTTACATTATTTGTTTCAGATAGGACAATTTGATGAGAGTCGAAGAATGGTACTGAAAGCATTAGAGCTATACCCCGAGCATGTCCATTCGAAGACAATTCTTGGCCATATCGAACAAATGTTTCATGTATAATAATTTGAAAATTTTTTTTTGAAAGAAATAAATAATTTTAACTCATGTAATTTAATTTAACATAATTGGCATAATTCCTACTGAATAATTATATGTTATAATCATCTAGACAGGTTTTAAATAATAAAATGGATTTGATTAATGAGCAGAAAAAATTGGATTCATTGAATTAAATGGAATGACATAGGTCGGAAAACGGAAACAGTTCATAATGAATCCGTTGAAATAATCGAAATATTGTTGTATCGTAGAAATTTGTTCCACAATGAGAATGGTTGTTTTTCAATGGGTCAAATTGTATTACAATGGTTATTTATTGTTTATTCTCTTCTTTTCCAAGGGATCATAAATAATGTGTTTCGCTTGTTGAATGATTATAAAATGTTCAGCAGCGGATTCTTTGATCACTTAATTCTCATTGTTGCCAAAGGATGTAAATAACACTAAATGATTGTAAGATATTAAATGACGGATTCTTCGATCACTTAAATTCCCTTTGTCTCCAAAAGGGATGCGCTTCATTTGTATGATCGTAAAATATTGTATGCTTGGCTCTCCTTTGAACAAAAGGTACGTGAAATGGATAGCTTCATGTCGGGTTCATATTCAGTATTTACTCATTGTTACCTACATTATCACTTAAAATTCACTTGTTCAATATATTATTTCTAGTATTGCTTTGACATTGCGATCGATTCCTAACACATCTGACAATTGCTTTTTAAAACTCGTAGATGACAGTATGTTACGGAGTTTAAAAAAATCAAATGATCCATGAATGATAAAAAATTCGTCGTCGCTTACTGACAGGCAAAATAACAATTACAAAGAGATAAAAACAAATCAGAAAATGAATCAATTTAGTGCTTTCAGATAGTAAGAAAGTCAAACCAAATAGCTTATGTAAAATTGTAAAGCAGTTAATTAGTCTTAAATTATGCCATTTATGTAACCAAGAATGTGATTCCGTATTTCGTGACATTCTGAAATTCATGTATAATGAAATGGATCTGATTATTATTCAGCAGAATAAACTACTATTGATACAAAATCTATACCTTTGGTAAAGAGGTAGCAAGGGATTTTTCAAAGTGCAAAAGTTTTTGGGAATGAAACAAAAGCAATAAAGCATATATTGGTAGTTTTCTCCTATCACCTCAATTTTAATACCATCAGAAAGATTGTTATACGGGCAACATTATCCACGAAAATCAATCTAAAGTGTAGATGATAATATCGATCAGATGGTCAGCTAATTAAATCTTTGAATATTTCACTTTTCTTTCTGTTTCAAACTAAAAACATTCGCATCAATTATATAATCATATCGGATTAGCATAGATGCATTAATTACATTAATAGTGAAATTCATTGTAGAGCGATCTCTCCCATATATTTANAACAAATCAGAAAATGAATCAATTTAGTGCTTTCAGATAGTAAGAAAGTCAAACCAAATAGCTTATGTAAAATTGTAAAGCAGTTAATTAGTCTTAAATTATGCCATTTATGTAACCAAGAATGTGATTCCGTATTTCGTGACATTCTGAAATTCATGTATAATGAAATGGATCTGATTATTATTCAGCAGAATAAACTACTATTGATACAAAATCTATACCTTTGGTAAAGAGGTAGCAAGGGATTTTTCAAAGTGCAAAAGTTTTTGGGAATGAAACAAAAGCAATAAAGCATATATTGGTAGTTTTCTCCTATCACCTCAATTTTAATACCATCAGAAAGATTGTTATACGGGCAACATTATCCACGAAAATCAATCTAAAGTGTAGATGATAATATCGATCAGATGGTCAGCTAATTAAATCTTTGAATATTTCACTTTTCTTTCTGTTTCAAACTAAAAACATTCGCATCAATTATATAATCATATCGGATTAGCATAGATGCATTAATTACATTAATAGTGAAATTCATTGTAGAGCGATCTCTCCCATATATTTAGTAGTATGGAGAGGTCAAATGGCGTATTTGCTAATCTAATCAGTTAAAGCATATATTATCGAAGAGATCAATCAAAACATTTTCAATGCAAATAAAGAAACAAATAGAGTTCTATTGTCCTTCTTCATGTCAAACTGATTTTTTCTCATTCATTTATGCTTCATTCTTATCTAATATGGTTAATTAGCTGATCGATATTATCATCTACACTTCAGATTTAATTAGTTGATCGATATTATCATCTACACATCAAATTTAATTAGTTGATCGATATTATTATCTGCACTTTAGATTGATCTTCGTGGATAATTTTTTTTAATTATTTGTAAC